GGGTGTTTGCGGTTCTTCTCAGGTGGTTCATCACAGTGTATGCACTGTCCTAACGACGCCGCCCCATCCCACCTCATTCGTTCACATTGGAGGTCAGTCATGGATCCATGGATCCCCAGGAGGGCATGAGAGAAAAAAATCAGGGCCCCTCCACGGCTGCTGGCGCTGCTGTGACTGGTAACTAGTAAAGAGTCAGGACAGAACCTGAGAGGAACCTAAAGTTAAAGGAACCTGAAGGGAAAGGAAACTTGCACGGGAAACTATTCGCCGTCCGCTGTCACCTCCCCAACCACATCCACCCGACACTTAATTAATCCCCTTCTCAATCAATCAATCAATCCTCTCTCTTCATTTGGTTACAACACCCCCGTCTCCCGTCTCCCGTCCGCCGTTTTCCCGTTCCAGATCATCCATCCATCACTGAGAACGTCCCGGACATTTTGCTAACTGGGACTTGTTCCATCTTTTTCCCTCCCCGTCCCCTTTTCTACCTGACCTCTCTCTCTCTCTTAAACCTCATCATTTATCCTCCTCCTCCCTCCCCTCTCCTCCCCCGATTTTTAGTCGCCCTCTTCTTCTCTTCCTTCTTCCCCCTCTCGTCTCGTCTCCCTCCCTTGATTACTCCTCCTCCGTCACCCGCAATTTGGTTCGTCCACACCCAACAGCCCTTACGTCTACGAAACCTCCATTCGACCTTTTTTGCACCAACGAGAAGACGAGGCTATCGCGCGAATCCAATTTCCCCTTTCGCGCGACTATTTCTTGCTCATTTGTAGTCTTTTTATTAGCTACTTTTGAGACGTCGCTGGTTTCCAGGGTCATCCGCCTATCACCTTTGGCTCCCAGAAATATCGAACTGCGACCATTAAGTAACGCTCTTTGACGTTACTCCGCCATTTTCTGCCAAATCTTCGAATATAGGAATTTGGTTCATTCGGCCTCCTTCGTTGTGCTGGCTGTATTTGTGCGCCTTTATCGCCATCCAGGATCTCGCAGTGCCTTCGATTTAAGCTTCGCACATTTGTTGCCCGAGGCCTCAATCTTGTTTTAGGCATCTCGCTACACCTGACGGAACAAGCTTTTGTGGTCATTGACCCTGAGGCGGAACCCCCGAACCTTGTTTGACCCGACTCTTCTTGAGCACTTTATAGACAGTTTCTTCTGCGCCTGGTACCCTCAACTTTACTTAGCTACACCGCTTTCACGACCGAGACCCACGAGCCAACGATTTGATGCCGCATTTTTAACTGCTTGTTACGCATCCCCCGATACCCCCTCGCGTCTGCATTCCTGACACACTGCACATTCTGTACGTGTCAGCTTGATATAAACCCTCAAGAAAAGCAGGTGAAGTCGACTGCTGGGTAAAAACAGCAGCTATTTGCCAAGCTGGATCCCATCATCACAATGTCGCAGCAACCGCACGATATGGGTTACCTTGACTATGGTACATCAACCAATCGTTCCCCGAACTCGAGACAGAACTATGCTACAGCCGGTGGTTTCGCTGGCCTCTCACTACCTCGCCAGTCCCAACGCCCTTTTGACGCTCCTCTAGGCTCATCTGCTCTTTACCCTGCCGACAGGATCGGAAGTGGGTACAATCAGCGTGGTATGGAGAACATGGCTGGTATGCAGGGCTACATGCTGGATAATGGTCAAGCTTGGAACTACAACACAACCGGAGTCGCTACGGTGAACGGTGCCTTGAATGGCCCTGGACGGCAACGAAATGTGAACCGACGAGCCGCTCTTCCCCAGGTATGTAAATAGGGAAAGTTTATATGACTATGTCTGATTAGAAACAGAACTGGACCGATCACAGCGCGCTTGGTATTCATGGTAACCATGGAGGTCTTCAGCCCTACCAAGGAGGCATGAACAACAACCCCATGTCAAATGGTGGTCTCCGTGTTGAGCACCCCGGATCTCACGGCTCCCCCACTGATCTTCGATCAAACACCTCAGACGCCGACCAGCTTATCCCTACAGCTATTGTTATTAAGAACATCCCTTTCGCCGTTCGAAAAGAGACTCTGGCTTCTATCATGCTTGAGATGCACCTCCCTCAGCCATATGCTTTCAATTACCACTTCGATAATGGCGTCTTCAGAGGTCTGGCTTTCGCGAATTTCCAGTCTGCTGAGGATACACGCATGGTGATTGAGGCGATGAACGGCATGGATGTCCATGGCCGTAAATTACGCGTTGAGTACAAGAAGATGCTCCCTGAGGCTGAGAGGGAGAGGATTGAACGTGAGAAGCGAGAACGACGAGGCCAGCTTGAGGAGCAGCACCGTGCCCCCATGCTTCACCAGCAAAGCTCTATCCAGTCACTTGGTAGTCTTTCACAGTCTCAAGCCAGGGGCCCATCGCACCTCGGCATGCTCGAGGCATCTCGTGTTCAATCTCCCGCACTGACCATGCCAGGCGATGTTGATTTGAACGACCCCCAGACTCTCGAGTTCTACACCGAATTGGTTATGTTCCGTCGTGACGACTCGCGAGAGGTTCTGGTCTTCCCTGCTGGTATCGCTCCTGAGCATCGACGATCCATCCACATTCTCGCACACAATATGGGCCTTGAGCACCAGTCTGTGGGCGATGGCGAATCGCGCCAGCTTACGGTGCTGAAGCGACAACAGCCGTCACCCACCGCCCACATCCACAGTCAGCCAGGCACCAACCTGGACATGCATAAGCGTGGCCTCAGCCGTGCTGCTACATTTGACTTTGCCGCTGACCGTGAGACACGAGCTGCCAGCAGCAATTACTCCCACATGATGGGTCGACAGGGTCCCACTATCGAGCTTCCCGGAAGCCCTGAAGGCAACGGCATTCCCAACAACCTTCGAGCCGCCAAGAGCTTTGCTGATCTGCGATCCTTCACCCCGAGCCCTTCGCAGGCTTCCTCCAGCTACCTCGCTCCTTCGGGAATGAACAACATGGGTGGTAGCTCGACTGCTGCTCGCTTCGGTGAATACATGGGAGGTGCCATGTCACCTTCTGGCCACCCTGGCAACTCTGGGACACCTGGACCCAAGAATGACTCTGCTCTTCTGAGCAGCCTCAACAGCCTGAACTTGGGCTATGACTCTGCCTCCATGCAGAACCAGGCGCGAAGCACTCCTGGCGCTATTGGCAGCCAGCGCCCCGGTAACAGCTCTAAGGGAGCACCTGAGCGACAGCCTCGCGGACCTGAGTGGGAGACCAATGCCGGATTTGCTGGGCGACGTGCTAACGGCCACGCCACGCGCGGTAGTGGTGGTATGTCAACCGAGACATGGAACGATTGAACACTGGCTAATTCACGATAGATTCGTCCGACAACGGAGCACGCGTCGGTTCAAGCTCAACCAACGCTTCGCGATATCACTGAGTGTGATTCTTTGGCCACCCCTTGATGGGTTAGGCTTCGACGACCTGTATGTCAGGCGCCGACTACAACTGCGCGTATCATTACGGATTGACGACAATGACCACGACGCATTGAAATTTTGCATCGCATTTGCTTTTATGACTTGTAATACCGACATACCTGGGGAAGTGATGGCAGGAATTTCACTTGTCTTGTTGAACCCCATTGCATATAGTTTACGTGGGAACGGTTTTATGACTTTTGAAGATTGTGGGGGACGACAGTGGCCTAAGGAAGTGTGCGTGTGGCCGACATGATGACAGTTACCGATGAGAGAGAGCATGGGATAGGATATCTGGATACACAAATGTTTTCGACACAACTGGGCAACCAAAGATGTACAAGGTCACAGACTACAGACAGAAGCACTTGGCAGCACGCATGCACGCATAACCTGGAGTACCCTCCGGATGTACGTACCCCCGACAAGACCTACGACCACTATCACCACCACCACTTGACGATTATGACGCTTTTACGACGTTACGTCTAGACAGCTATACCGGCTTCTCCTCATCAGGCTGTTCAGCGTCAGCAAATGGGAGGGGTTGCCTCGGCGACTTACAACCTACTACTATACCCACCAAATCAAATAATTTCTGTCTAGGCGCTGTTCCTGGCATGACCGCGACGATGAAGACGACACATTTGGAGACGCCCGAGTCCGGCTTTTGGACAAAGGGGCACTGAAAGGGGCCGATGGACGAGTGCGAACATGGGTGATTTTTGAGTCGAAGGCCCGGCCCCGTTGGAAGGAAAAGAAAAAAGTTACACTATCTGGTTATCTGCATTACAGTTGAATTGTCTTGGTTCATGGTTCTGTTACAGTTACAGTTTCTGTTTATCCTTTATTTTTATCTATTTTTATTTATGTACGGATTGGACGGGAGTGGTATTATTCTGATCTCACCTGATTAATTCTTGATCTGCCTGGTCGCGGTGACTCGAGGAGAGTTAGAGATGGTGTGTTGGCATGGGACGCGTGTGGGCTATTTGGCTATCGTTGACTGGAGATGTTTTGGAGGAAGTTGTAAACACGAATAAGAGAACGAGCAGGGAGAGCCAAAGAGAGATGAGATATGCCTTGCGAACAAAGTGTACTAATCAAGTAGTGAAGTGAAGTGTTGTGCTCTGGGTGTTGTTTGAATAGATGATTTGCTGCGTGTCTGTATTGTATTGTATGTATGTATACCACCCAATCAATGTCTTAACCGCGCATGTCGAGAGTTACTGATCAACAACGCATCATCAAGACCCACATCTTTGTACCGTCAAACTCGAGTATCTGCTCATCTTCAACTCTGACTCAACCTATATCGAAAAAAGATTCAACTCGTATGATGCAACTCATAACGTTTCGCTGAGCATCAACGAGACTTGATTATTAAGACATTAACTACATCACGGGCGTTGATACCTGAAACGATCTAGTCCTTTCCTCTGATAGGGCGACCACTTTGAAACCTCATCCACCAAAAGCGACGTCATCTCCACTTTGTAAGAGAAGCATTGACTGACTGATAGTTGACGTCGTCTGTTCATCGTATTTATATATCCTCTCTTTCTCTCTTTCTCTCTCATCATGGCGAGCTTCATCTCTTCATACCTACCGTTTGGAAAATCAAAGGACGAAAATATGCCGGCGCCTGAGAAGAACAGACAGTGGACCACGGGTCAGGATGGCCTTGATAAGCTTGCATTTGGGGAGGGTGAAGTTCCCAGGCCGAAGGAGGGTGAGGTTTTGGTCAAGGTTCTTGCCGTTGGGTTGAATTATCGAGATACTGAAGGTAAGTTGTCCCTGACGTGGAAAAAGGGGGTGATACTGACTGTTGGAAGTCATCAATGGTGATTATAACCACCATGCCTCCATCCAAGACACAGACGCTCTCGTGCCCTGCTCCGACATGTGCGGCACCGTCATCCAGAGCTCATCGCCAAAACTCAAAGTCGGCGCTCGCGTCATGTCTATCTTTAATCAGACCCATCTCACAGGCCAAGTCACCGAGAAAGACATGGCCTCCGGTCTCGGTCTCCCTCTTCCCGGCGTCCTAACAGAATATCGCTGCTTCTCAGCCGACGCTCTTGTCCCCGTGCCCGATTATCTCTCCGACGAGGAAGCAGCGTGTCTCCCCATCGCAGCTGTGACCGCCTGGATGTGCATCAACGGCATGCGACCACTCGGCCAGCCTGCTGATGGTGGTAAGAAGAAGGAAACTGTTCTTCTGCAGGGCACGGGTGGTGTAGCGATTGCGGGGCTGCAAATCGCCAAAGCAGCTGGTCTAAACGTCATCATCACTTCTTCATCCGACGATAAGCTCGAGCGCGCAAAGAAGGATTTCGGCGCTGACACGGGCATTAATTATCGCACGCACTGGGAGTGGCAAGAGCCCGTCATGAAGGCGACAGAGAACCACGGCGCGGACATCATCTTCGAGACAGGCGGTGCGCGAACACTCCGCAAGTCATTCGACTCTGTAGCCTTTGGCGGGCTGATCAACTGCGTGGGCTATCTCTCCGGCAAAGAAGAGGAGCAGGACACCGGGGGCAAAGTGGGCGTGAATGTGCTGGCTCTGAGGAGGAATGTGACGCTCAAGGGGATCCTGAACGGGCCGAAAGATCGGTTTGAGGAGATGGTGGCGTTTTATGAGAAGCATTCTATTCACCCTGTTGTGAACAAGGTGTTTGGGTTTGAGGAGGCGAATAAGGCGTTGGAGTTTTTGAGCAGCGGGCAGCATTTTGGGAAGGTAGTGGTGAGGGTTTCGAAGAAGGAATAGAGTAGAAAGTCTACACGGATCATGAGATAGATGGATACCTGATATAAGTGCGTGTCATTTGTGCTACGTTATGTTGGTATTGTGTTCATTCGTTTTTGGCTACGGTTATCGTCTGGTGTAACACCAAGATACCTTAGGAGTACAGTTTTACACGGCGGCACATATAAAAGCAAAAATTGTGGTTTGAGAGCTGTGTCGAGGGCTCATTATAATTATCATTGCATTGAATTGCTTGGTGTGTAGAAACTCGAACCAAGAAGTGAGAACCCTCCTCGTAATGTACACAGTCAGCATTTAGTTCTCGTGACTTTCATGTCCACAGAAATGCCTTTTTTCTATATCGTAATTACAAAGTCTTTGGAACAACTCGCACATCAGAGTCGACCAGGTCCAGCCTGTTGATCAACGGCGCAAAGATATAATCCTGAATCGGCTTCAGAACAAGAACAACACGGTTGATGCGCCATCCTAACAACGGAACCAGAGCCCCGATCAACGCATCCGTGAGGAAGTGGTTCGCAGTAGCGACAATAGTAATGAGCATAGCGGTCGGCCATAGAGGAGCGAGGATGCGCATGAAACGATGCGGAGAGAATCGACACATGCAAACTGCAAAGAAGAGCGATGTTCCAAAGTGCAAACTCGGCATCGCAGCGATGGTTAATTGGAACCGATTATTGTTCCAGACATTAGCGCCCCCAGCTTTACTATGCAGAACATCAACGAAGCCATATTGCTGCGGTAGCAATCGCGGAGGCGAGCATCGCCAGAGCGTCACGATGACGAAAGCAATAGCGTTGTCGACGGCGATTGTACGACGAATGCGTTGAAAGGTCGGGGGTGGGAGATAAGTGTAGATGTAGATGAGGAAGAGGATGCCGATGCTGATGTGGGAGTAGTATATCTTTGCGAGGATGGGCATGAGCCAGGGCTGTTGGTTCATTATGTATGACTGGAAGTATTGTTCGATATCGAGGCCGAAGAAGGATTCTAGAGTGAGGATTTGAATGGCGTGGTCTCGAGCGCGGGTGAAGATTGGTTCGTTGCCTGCGATTGCTCGGGCTGATACTGCTCGAAGGCCTTGATAGATCCTACAACCATCAGTACGTGCATGAATCAGCGTGATGAGAGACGTACCAGTATGTCAAGTTCCAGTACCAAATCTCTATCAAGAACGGAAACGCATTGAAGAAGCGAGATAGCAGAACAAAGAAGAAGTTTGGAGCTCTGCGAACTGGGCGCTCGATGTGTTGGAGGAGAGTGGGCTTCAGAGGAGGCGAGTCAACGTATCGTTGGTCTTCAACATCGTCTAGAGATTCGTTGTACGTGATTTGAGTGTCTCGCCGTCTATTGATGAGGCATCCTATAGTGAAGGCGAGGACGATGACTTGGAGTTGTCAGTGAGATGTAGCTTAGAGCGTGATGGTGACTTACACACTGGTTCGACCACATTCTTTGAAGCTACAACCATGATTGAAATGAGCAAAAGGAAAAGAATACAAAGAAATAGAAGATAGTAAACACAATTATATATGATGAGGATGAATAAATACCGTGTCTATAAAAGAGGGTGATATAGACTGCCCATCAAGATCTATCCAGATAAGGGAAGGAAGAAGGGCTGAAGGATTTAAGGACAAAGTGACAGAAACAAGATAAAGTAGTGTCCTAGATATAAGTAGGTAGGCAGATAATAAAAGAAACAAATCTGCAGGCCAAGCATAGCAAAGACAAGGTAACTAGGTAAGTTGCACGAACAAGGAAACTTATTGGGGGTGGTACCAAACAGGGAATAAAGCACAAGACACAAGACACAGCCAAATATTGAATGATTGCATTGCATTGTATGTCACTGCCATCGGAGAATAGGAACAGAAATACCGATGCTACTCTAATCACACCCGGCGCTTGACCATTTGGGGGACATGTCTATCTAATGTTGTACTGTTCTATTATTCTATGGCCGTCTCAGGACTTCACATGCAGCAGAATATCCCTGCTCTCACAGTTAAAATAAACGTCCGATCAAGAACACCCCCTGTCTCCCAAATCTGTGGATACTATCTAGTCCTCCAAGTCCAAAGCCACCGAGGATGCCGTCGGACTTTATAACATCTGACTCGACCAGAACTTCAATATCAATACTCCAAGCCCTGCGATAATCTCACAGACACAACGCGTTGCAGTGGCTGAGACATCATAAGCTCACCTCAGCCATCCCCATGCGGGTACAGCGCGAGTGCAATAAGCTTAACCAACACAACTGTATCTTATTCCCAGTATATTAATTAAACCCTCCCAAAGCTTAATGTATCCAAACACCAGTCTTGGCCGTCGAGTGACTACAGCGGCACATATCTCCCAGCGTGACGTGTTGCCGAGTGTGAATATGCACGCGATCAACACAGAGATGGGTTACACTGAACCCAGCATGGCGATAAGTCATTGGCTTAAACAAGGCAGTGAAATTACAATTCTCGTGGAGAAGACGTTGCAGAAAAAAAAGCTTGTTTCTTTGACGTCAAGAAGATACCATCATGATTCCCAATTTAGGTCGTTGTCGAATCTTCTCCGTTTGAGATAAAAACCCCGGCGGTTCGGTCTAGATTACCACCCCGAGATTCTCTACGCTTTCCGTGTCGGAAATCCGGAATGAGCGGAGGTTTTGGGATCGGAGCTTCACTTCCTCTGATCGGAGTCAAAGAAATGGAGTGTTTGTGGTTTGGGAAACCTCGGTATATGGAGACTGGGAGCTTGGTATGATCTGATATGGCACGACTACGAGGACTATGATCTCATCACCAACATGCTATTCTCCAACATATAGACATAAGGCTCACCACTATTTAAAGGAAGCTATTTGAATTTTAGGCGAGCATGGATTCTGTGTAGCTTCGTGTTATTTAGACCATGGTACAAGAGTCAGGATCAGATGCATTGTAGCATCACATCGAACGACAGATCCCACACAGAGTCTACCCCTTTTTCTAGGGCTGATCTGATACACGTTAAAAAAAGCTTGTCCGACCTTAAAGGCTTAATTATCGGCGCCAAGTTGTCTACCGAGAGGCGAGAGGCGAGAACATGCAGCCTGTCATCACTATTAATATCCGTACGTTCCGGCGGCCACAAGGATCATCTCCTTCATCCGTCCATATACGTCTCGCTAGTCGTTCCTCATTCTTTGCTCTCGTTCATCGATTATTATTGATGTGGTGATCATAATTGTCCATGTTGCTACGTCACAGAGATTATATTGACAAGTGCCTTTGTTCATATATCTGCTTTGCCCTTGATATGCTCTCGCCGAAACCGCCTCGATACATGATGAGATTCAGTGAAACAGCCTATCAAGTCAAATCTCACTCAGTTAGACATAAACCATGACAGTATCCGTATCAACTCAAACATTAAATTACCAAAACTAGACCAAAGAGGAAGAAGAACAAGACATGGTCTTCTCTCTCCGCTCCCCCATTTCGTCATTCCTCCGCCATCGCACCATCCTGTCCCTCCCCCCTTTCTCCGGGGTATCATAGCATTTCCATCCCAAATAAGAAGTGAAATGATTTGAAATGAACTAAAGTAAAAGAGAAAAAGAGAAATAAACGAGTCAAAGCACCAATAGTAACCGATTACCCTCCAATCCACGTTAAAAGGTTTCGCACGCCCGCAGCATGATCCCAAATCCAGGCTGGCAAAAAACATTACCATGACCCGAGGCCGTAAACATCTGTAACTTCCTGATAATGCACATGTGTCTTATGTCTTTTGTGTCGTGTTCACAAATCGTGAATGCTTCCGAAATGCTCCCTTCCCCGCGTCATGTACACCGTTGCTGTTGCAACTTCTAGCCCACGTCAAAGGTCTGCGTTTCCGCAGGCCACTCCGTTAGACAAGTCGAAAGGTTGCTTGCCGAGCAGTGATCGGCTACCACATTCCTCTACAATTCTATGCTGTACACAAACAGCCCTCAATTACTCGTAGCGTCGAGGGGCACCGAACGTGTCAAGCACGTGCTCGGATGTTCGAATGATCCATTCAAGCTTCGCTCTCTCGAGGTTGGCCAGGAAAGGATCCGTGGGGAAGCCATCCTGGATGCCACCAATGAGAGGCTGGATGCGTCCGATAAGGAGCTGCATGGTCTGAGTCGTACTCTTGATCACATCGCGAGCACCCTGTTGTTCCCATTCCTATGACACATTAGTTGATGCTCATTATCCATGATATAGTGTGAACTTACAAAGGCAGGAAGGTTCTCGGCAAAGGCTCGGAGAGCCATTTCGATCCATTCGACTTCCTCCTTGAGACGAGCGTTGGGCTTCAGATCCTTGGAGATTGTGGCAATAACAACAAGCAACATCAAGGGTGGAAGATTCTCGAACTTGGTAGGGGGGAAGCGACTGAGGCAACGACGGAAGATCTCTTCCTCACGTCCACTCTGGATCCACTGGATCATGGCGTCCTGGTAACGGCCCTCTTGAATAGCCTGCTCAACAATTCTGATGCGCTGCATCAAGTCGTGATCAGCCTCGGGCTCTGTCTGGTTACGCTGGCTGGCGTAGGCACCAGCAAGAGCGCTGACACTGGAGGCGGGAGCGACGTAATCAGAAGCCTGTTGCGACGCTTGAGGGCTGTTCACTTGCTGAGAACCACGGAGGTACTGAGGGCTGCCCATATACTGCTGTGCCTGGCTGGCGGCCTGGCTAGGAGCTTGACTGGGGTGGTAGCTACCAGCGTGGCTGGCCTGAGGGTGATGATGGTTTGAGCTGGCGTAGCCGTGATGGGGCATGCTCTGACCGTGCCCTACATTCTGGGGGATCCCGGAAAGTTCATGGACAGGCTGCTGCTTGAACTTGAGGAAGTCGGCCTGGAGCGCCGCCTGAGAGGCAGACATGGTTGTAACCATTTCCGAAAGACGAGTTACATGAGAAAGGAGTTGGTCGATCTTGGCGGTGTCGGAAGCATGCTGGGCCTTCATATACTCAAACTGGTCATGATACTGCTGGTGAAGCTCGCCTGCGACACGCTGCGACGCCTGAGTTGCAATGTTAGTGAACGTCGGGGTGAGTCGCTGGGTCAGTGTCGCAAGGACTTCCTGCTGCACGCTCGTAGCAACCGAGTTTCCAACGCGGTCGGAGATGGCCTTAATGAAATCGCCGGAGCGCAGGGATCGGTTGAGAGCATGAGGAAGAGAGCTCTGGATCTCCTTCTGTACGGTAGAAGTAAGATGAGGCTGCAGCTTGTTGTCTAGAAGATCGGTAACTGCGGCGCCAGCCTTGTCGCCAATGGCAGGAATGACGAGCTCAGTGAACTGGTGGTGGATCAGAGCCTCCAGGACCTTCTGAGTGTTTTCGTTCAGCACCTCCGAAACCATATCAAGGAGTTTAAGCTGGTGCTGATTGAAGTTCTCGTCACGGACGCGGATGTCATCGTCAATCTTACCGTGAAGGTTCTTGAACGATGACTTGAGGGTCTCGCCGACACTCACGGTGAGACGAGACTCGAGTCCAGAAATGGCGGCATCCAAAGCCTCACTAGAGACAGCAGGTGTGGAGGCGTTGTTCGCGGTCTTGGCATCCTTATTGCCAGCGCGAGGTGCAGCGCCGTTAGTAGCTGTGTCACCCTGGTTGGCAGCGTTCTTCTTCTTTCTTGACTTTCGCTCAGGCTTCTCCGACTGAGACTCCTTGGCGGATTGGACAGGCGTTTCAGCCTCCTTCGGCTCACTCTTGGCCTTGGCTGGAGTAGTCGATTCGAGTCCACGCTGGCTAGACTCGGCTTGGGCTCCTGGGGTGGGCTGGATGTTCTCCTTGTTCGCACCGCGGTTAACGACACGGACAACGGCGTCTCCATTGCTGGCTGGGGTAGGTGCCTCGGCGGGCTGAGGAGCCTTGAGCTTCGAAACGGTGACGACGCCCTGGGCGACGGCATCAACACCGTCGAGGACCTTGTTGTCCTTGGACCATCCGAGCTCAGTCTGCTTGACAAGGAGGCAAGCAACACCCTTGGAGTGCATGGCGTACAGCTCAAACAGAGTGGGTTCGTCGGCATCTTGAACCATGGCAGGAGTGCCAAGAATGTCAAGACTTCGCAGAATTCCCCGGTTAGCGAACGAGTACTCACGAACACCACTAATGACAGCGGTACTATCCGGCTGGGGGATGGAAGAGTCCTGAGCAATCAATCGCTGAATATATTCGGCCTGAGATACACTCTTGAGGTTATACTTGGGTGCGGACAAGTGCGCAAAGTAGATGGAGTTGCGCGTGGGGTGGCCAATGACAATCATGCCAGTGGCTGAGTGGTACATGACACTACAAACAGCATCCGACTCCTTGCTGTGGGGTAGGTTGAACTCCTGCACGGGCTTGCCGAGAGCAAGATCCCAAAGCTGCAGAGTGTGGTTCTGCTTCATTCCAACAATCATGTATCGCAGGGCACATCGCTTCTGGTAGGGTCGCTGCTTGTCGAGAAGAAGAACCGAAGTGGGCCAAGCCTTCTCACCTTCAGGTGTGGTGGCAAGTGTCATCAGGGGCTCCTTGACCTCGAGATTGGTCTCAGCGGGCATGGGAGCACGCGGGTCGGAGCCCTCCTTGACAGCGGTCAGGTCTCGAACATCCCAGAACTTGACCCGACCAGACTTGTCAAGAGAGACGATGACCGAGTCGTCCTGACTAAAGGTGAAGTCCTTGCCAGCCTTGCCAGTGTTGATCTTCAGGGAGCACTGCTTGGCAAGAGTTTCGGTGTCGACAACGCGGTCGTGGCCAGGCTTGAACAGGTTGTTCTGAAGGATGTATGAAGGCCAGATGAGGTTGATGGACTTGCCGCGACCGACGGCAAAGTACTCTGGGTGAATTGTCGAGGTGCGGGCACGGGTCTTGAGAACACCACCAGGGGCATCACCCTCCTGGGAGCTCATGGGAGGCAGAGCAAAGCCATACCCCTCCATATGAGCATCTTCGATGTGATCCTTGTCACCATCACGAATCTGAACCCAGTAGACGGTGCCGCTGATGCCAGTACCGATGATGGCCTCACGGTGAGCGCCGTCGTGGTCAGTAGGTGTAACAGACATGGCGACGTTGAAGATACGGTCCTTGGTGTCGGTGAAAATCTTGGCATCCTTGCCATCCTCCTGTCGAATAACACGCAGACCACCTTGTTTGGACATGCCGTAGGCCATGTAGTTCTCAGTGGCGGTGTAAAGGTTTCGATCAATCTGATCAAACTCCTTCTTGAGTCGAGCAATATCCATGATAGTCTCGTCGCGGAACAAGGGTCGTGGCTCGGTGCCCTCTTCCTGAAGAGTAATAGAGATCCACGGCTTCATGGGGAAGTTAAACACCTTGACAGGCGGGGTCTCCTTCTCTTCAATAACGACGATCTCGTCCTGGTCGGCGCTCTCCCAGCTGTCAGCAACACCCTGAGCGGCCTCGTCAACAATCTCGCGAACAGTCTCAGCGACATCGTGTGGGAGGGTGTCCTCGAGAAGTCCCTCATTGTCGCTGCGGTCAAGCTCAGCTTGGATAGCCTGGGCGGCAATGTGAGCACTGTCCTCGAATTCCTTCTCGGACTTGGCGTTGAGCATATCGTCAAGGTCCTCGGCGATTTCAGCCTGGGCCCGTTCGTGCTCCGCGCGCTCAAGTGCTTCCCGGGCTTCATGATCAGCCTGCTCGGCAATGTCCTCGATGGCCTCTGCGACGGTCTCCTTGGCGGTCGAATTGTAGTTGTCGAATTCGGAGGTCGGAGGAGTACCCTGCTTCACCGAAGGGTGTGACTGCAGAGACGCGGTTCGGGTTGCCTTGCGACGAGTCTGGTGAGGAGAGGTGGGGAGAGCAGCTCGGTCACTGCCAGCGCCGACCGAGTGGTCATGGCGGTGGGAGTGGTGGGAGTGGTGAGAATGCTGGGAAGCAGCTGGCGAGTCCTTCTTAAGAATCTGGAAAGGAAGAGCTGGTGGCGACTGAGCCATATGGCTCTGACTCTGGCTCTGGCTATGAGGAGACGACTGAGCAAGGTTCCCCAAGAGCTGCTGGAAAAGAGCCGAGGTGTCAGTCTGATCCTGTGAAACATGATGGAAGGAATCGGATGCGTGCGATCCTGCGTAGGAATCGACCGGGCGGTGCTGCTGATTCGAGTACTGGTTGCCATGCTGCTGGGGGTACTGCTGCTGATAACTGCCAGAGTAGCGAGCAGGTTCGGCAGGAGCCAGGTCGGGAGACTGAGGCGTAAGGTTGTTGGAACGCGTGGTCTCAGTCAGAGCCGATTGCTGCTGTTCGCCCTGGCTAGGCTTGGGGCGGTTCAACAAATTGAGCAGATACGAGCGCGTATCGGCCGGGGGAGAACCGTTGCCAAAGGCTTGCTGAGGGTGCGGCTGCTGGGCCTGCTTGGGCTCTTCCGGCTCGTGGGCGCCGCGCATAAGGGCAGCCAAGAGACCAGTCGGGTCAGCAGAAGAAGGCGCAGGCTGGTGAATCTGAGCAGGGAGAGGGCTCTGGATGATGCCTCGACCTTGCTGAGCATGCTGCTGGAATTGGTTGAATTGATGGAGCTGATGGTCCGACAACTGCTGGTGCATCTGCTGAGGAGAACCAGGTTCCTGCGGCTGCTCTTGGGTCTGCTGGGTCTGCTGCTGGATGTGAGCCTGGGCCCGATTGTGAGCAGCTTGGCTCTGCAGCTGCGAGCCACCTGAACCGCTGAACTTGAGCAAGTTCAGCAGATTAGCGGTGCGATCCGAGTTATTGGAAGGCATGCTCATGTTGTTGACAGGCGGCGTAGGGGCCGGCGGCATGTCGAGATTGTCCATGGCGACAAGCCTAGGGTAGCGGGTGCGGTTGCGGACTCGAGAAGAGCTACCGCGTTATTATTGTTGGTGGTTTTTTTCTGAAGGTGGATGATTCAGAGACGACAAGAAAGCGAACCCGAATGGAAGCGGAGACCGGGACGAAAGCAAAAGCAAACGGGCCGAACAGATTCCGAGAGGACGCCAAGAGGAAGAATGAAAGGGGACGACGAGGGAGAGAAAAAGAAAGAAAAGAGATCAAGATGATAAAATGGAAATGAGTAGATGCGATTCTATCTTTCAATCTTTTTCAATGATGAGATGAAGTTGAGGATGAAGATAAAAAAAGGTGGTTGACGTGGGGGGAGGAAAAAACAAAAGTCGCGAAACCGGTGATGATGACGGTGAAGTAAGGCAAAGCAGAGCACCAAATCAGTGGCTGGTAGCGGTGGGCGGTAGCAGTAGCGGTAACGGCAGTGCCGCAGTGGTACGGTACCTCACTTTAAGCTGATGAGCTAAAAGCCTAGGAGAGGTGAGGTTTGTGAGGGAAAGCAACCAAGGTGATCCCAAGCAATTATCTGTGCACCTCTGCTAGTGTTTGGGGCGGCCTCAGGAAACAGCTTTGCGCAATGAGTTCGATCGATTGACGATGTAAATTGGTAACCAGCTGATGGCTGCTGCTGGAGCCCAAGCCCACGTTGCCCAATGCTACAAGCAGTGCAATCCAATGCAAGGCAAAGCAAGGCAAGGTACTTAATGTTGAGGTGACGGACGGGAGGGATGTTTCCACCTCACTATTCCCCCATTGCAAGGTAACGCACAGAGCTAAAGTACCTGGAGGGAGTGAAGGAGTGACGTGGTTGACTGGGGCTGGTTGGTTGATGTTTGTGTGTTGTATTTGCTGGTACCTCAAACTGAGAGGATGATATCGGATGATGCCGTTGAATATCATCTACCGGCATTACATGGAAAAGGCATATATTACAAAGTCTGTTCTTTTCACCGAGTATCAAACATTCTTTCATCAATAGCATCGAATCTCAAATGTGGCTGATGCAATGTAAAGCTCTCTCAGCTGTGATACATACAGGACAGACAGACATGGATATGAGTGAACCAGTTCGGCATGTTAAGGTAGCGCCCAGACTGCCAGCTGTCAAAGTCACCGCCTCTTCAAGTTCTATTGGCCAAGGCAATGAATCCAGATCTCAGAGACATGTACATTATTGGTGACTCATAAAACAAGTAGCTAAAGTAAAGCAGCCCGAGATTCGGTTCGAGCCTGAAAGAACTTGAGATCCTGGCTTTTGCATATGCAGCAGCTGCTGTCTGAGTCCCAACATTGTTGAAGAAATTCTGAGACCAGGCTTTCCTTTCTTTTCTTTTCCGAGACGACATCCTTGAGATCCTCGATGCCTCAACTTTTAATTACATAATCATGAATCTAGCAGTTCCAGAAGCGTAAATGATCCCCCAGTTTGATGATGGTCATCCAGGGACAAATTGTGGTTATTCCCACTAGGCGCTTAGGTTTTGTACCTCGGAACTTAATCGAGACTTCCAACGAGCTGCATATCTGGATCGCGACGACTACAGTAAACAGCAGGCGCAGATCTGATTAATACCATATAACTTGCATTTCATTATTTATCATCTGTCTAGGTAGTTTTAAAACTCAAACAAATGCTATAGTGCATGTCAGTCGTAGATGTTACCTATCTTCAGTATTGAGTGCTCTTATACACCCTCGGAAGCCAAGTGAATAACCGCCCAGCCACAAAACACTCCATCTAGGACGGGAAGGAAGAAAACAAGTACAACTCCCATCATCTACACTCTTTATACCCAAAAACAACATAAAGACCAAAACACCAGTACAACTTCAAATATCTTTCTGGGTCTTTCACTCTAGTCCAGCCAATCCCATGATATCAATACCTAACCCAGAGCCTCAACAAGACACTAAACCCAATACAGCATCACCCCCATTCATCACCCTCCAGAACGACGTAACACCTTTAAACCGCCACCAAATCCTCCTCCCGAGTCTCCAGTCCAGCCTCAGCCTTCAACAGCAAACCCTCCACATGCGCCCTCGCGCAATACACCACGACTAAACATCCCCGTCTCCTAGGCAATCGACGCCACATGATACCTCTATTCATCGTATAATTATCGCCCAGCATGTTTTGTCTTCGCAGGTAGTATGCCCCCTTCACAACCACTCTTGTCTTTCAGATCACCAAAAACTAACCATGTTGCCTCAATGCAGTTGGCTTCCTCTCCTATTCATCCCGACCAACGCCTCGCCTGCTTTCATATTTCTCTTCTTTATCTGCACCTACTTCCTCAATCGGCCATGCGTGTACTGCTCCATCCTCCTCCTTATTCTCTTCCTGACTTCGTGCAACTGGTCCGACCGATGCTTCTTCGACCTTGGCAGTAATTGGTTCCTCCCGCGTCCGATAACACCGGATGTAGCGTTTACTTCGCCATCCGGGGACCTCACGTTCAATTCGACCGTCCTCGATATGGCCAACACTACGGTCGCGGCGATCATAAAATCCGCCAGTGATGATCTAGCTGCCAGGAGGGCCGAGTGGTCGGGCTTGGGGATCGAGTGGCTTAGGAATTTACTGGGGAAGAGGGAGTGGAGGATTGATTGTATGGATATCTATATCAGGCTTTGAATAGCCTTGCGAGACCTGACCAAGGGTCGATTATACGTGGCCTAATGAGATGTATATTCCAGGCCATGCCAAGTATTCCAACTTCTTGATAGACCCTATGCAAGCATCACATAATTCATCGCTACATCACATTGAGTTTGGACAATGGGCATCACAAGCATAACGTGTCTATTCTCATCATATTGACTAAGATAGCCCCCGTAACAGGTTCCTAATTATGTACCCTTCATGCATCATTCAAACTATCATCGCACCAAAAACCACATGTGTATCCCTCATTTTCTTTCATCAAAAAACGAATGCGTCCTAGGTATATCCTTCGTAGCAACTTACATCAAGGCATATAAAGCATGGCTGCGCTTGCAAATCCTTAAAGCTCATCAGCCTCCTCCGAGTGCTCCGCAGCCTGTTCGGGGGCTTCCTCGTCAGAGCCCAAAGCCTCCGGGGCGGCGGACTCGGAAGTGGCCTCGGCCTCGATGCTGGGTTCCGCATCATCAGCCTCTTGCCCGACTTCATCAAGGGCCTCTTCGTCAGGCGACACAGTCTCCTGAGCAGGGTCCTCCTCTTCCTTTACAGACTCGGCCTCGTTAGATGGGAGGACCGTCTCCTCCGCGGGGAGTGTCTCCTCCACAGGAGCCTCACCATCGACGGGGGCGTCCGCGGCCACGAATGTATCCTCTGCCTCAGGGGCAGCACTCTCCTCAAGCTTCTCTTCTTCAACGGCCTCAGCAGCCTGCGTCTCTTGAGATGGAACCTCAGTCGCATACTCAGTAATCTTGACTGTAGCAGTCTCAACAGCTGTTACTGTCTCGACGATACGAACGATGCGCTCCTCACAGGTAGGTTGCTTCTCGGTCTCAGGCGACTCAGCGGCTGGTCCAGCCTCCAGTTCTCGCGGTGCCTCAACTCCGTGATATCCTTGAGAAGGGGCTGAGCAAGAAGCACACGGGTCGACCAATCCAGTCGAAGAGCCATCGTGGCTAGGATAGGAGTTGCCAATAGCAATCTGATTGTTGTTTACCTGCTCATATTGGGCGGCATTGTTCTGAGCAGGGGTATCCTCGACAACAATGCTTTCCTCAGGATGATAAACCTCAACATTGCGCTCCTCCTCTTCGTCCTCGACAGGATCCGCAGAAGCAGCAATCTGAGGAGCGGCTTCAGTCGCCTGGATACTGATGGCCTGTGTCACTGTCACGGTGGGCACTTCCCGATTCATAACAACAGTCTGGAAATTCCTAGGATCCTGTTGGGGTGCAGTGTTTCCACGGATAGCCAAGAGAAGAATGAGAACACTCAGCAAGCCGATCAAGATGTTCTTCTTGTCTTGCATGACTACACGAGCTGACTCGGCCAGTAGCTCTGGCAGAGTAGCGCTCTTCATTGCTTGGCGACGTTCCTCAGCGGTAGGCACTCGAGGAGCGGCATGCGCATAGTCGGGCGCGTGGTTGCCGGCGGAAGAGCGACTACGCTCAGCATAATGTTGTTCATGGTGCAATGGCTGTTGTTCGTGGAAGGATCGCTGGGATTCCTGATGATGTTCCTTGGAAGCAGGAGTATCGCCATAGATCTCCCTATACCTCTCCTCCTCTCTCCTCAGACGCTCTGCATCATCATCCTTCGAGTCGGTGGGGTCTTCGGGGGCGATAGATGACTCCTCAGCCTCCATATTGGTATCTCCAAGGTGAGAAGGCTCGGGTGTAGGTCCGATATTTCGTGCTTCTTCTGCCAGACTCCTTTCACGCTCTTCCTGAAGATGGTCGTCGATATCCTTCTCGAGCTCCTCAAATGATCGGCTCTTTTCATCATCCTGGTCCTCAGCAAAAGACTCCTCGACGTCATCGGCGGGCTCCTTCATGGACTCCTTGGTAACATCAGCCGAGTGCTCCTCAGCAGGCTGGGTGTCGTTCGCAATGTGGCTTTGGTCATGATCCTCTGTAGTTTCGTGAATAGATGCTTCACGAGCCTCCGAGACATCATGGAGAGATTCGTCATGATGAGAAGGCTCGTGGTGAGAGAGTTCGTGGTGAGAGGGCTCGTGAAGTGACTCATCGTAGGCCGATTTATCATGAACAGATTCCGCATGCAGTGACTTGTCGTAGCGAGAGTCCTCATGACGGGATGTCTCATGACGAGAAGCATCATGATTCTCCATACGTGACTTGCCTTCACTCATCTGGCTTATATCCTCCACATGGTTACGAGACTCGCCCCGTCTTCTAGACAGACGTCCTCGCTCCCTCTCCTCAAACTCCCGATGCTCCTCATCCAATCTGATGTATCTTTCCTCCTCTTCAGCTTCCCTCATCGCCAACTCTCTCTCCTGGTCAGCTTCCAGAGACACAAGCTCATGCTGCGATACAGCGTCAACAAGAGGCTCTATCTCGACATCAACCCGCTCCATCTCCTTCCAGCAAGCTTCCCAGGCACCGCCACGAATCAGACCGTTGCTGGCATACACCTTGACACGGAAGACCTTTGCACGGCCGAGTGACTCATAATTAATGTCCGACTTGCATGTCTTGCACCAGTGTGTAGGCGGTGCCTGAGAGCGACGACTTGATCGTCGCTCGTCTTCCTCTTGCTGTTGATACTCATCCTCCTCACTCTCTTCCTCCTCTGAGTCCTCTATTGTCATCTCGTTGGAGGGACCAAGATAGTGACCACACTCTAGGATACGAGCACGACGCCTCATTGGGAGGTCAAGAGCCTCAAGCAGCCTCTCCTCGAGAACCTCATAGTCGCTCTGGGGGTGAGGTAGGAGGATGCCGCGCTCGACAGTGGTATCTGCCATGCGATCTTGCAATAGTCGCCAAGCATCTCGAATAGCCTTGCACTCCTTGCTCAGATCATCGGCATCTGCATTCTCGAGCACGTCACCCCACGGCCACCGAAGCGGAAGCAATGTAACGTGAAGAAGAACAAGGGGCGGTGTAGATCGCTTAAAACGAGGCGGTGTCTTCTTAGGAGAGTACTGCTCTGAAAAGCGAGGAGAGCCAAGTCGAGATGCAGAAAGAGGTGCTCGACGGCTTGATCGAGGGGAGCCAATTGTTGAGCCTGGAGGCGATGACATCTGCATGGCCTTGACAGAAGAAGGTGATCGGAAGACAGGACGAGGGTTGCCTCGGATGGTAGGGATGAAGTCTTCCTCTTCTCTGTCATACTCTGAGAAGCCGGAAATACCAGATACACCTGAGACACGAGGCGACCTGGTCATCCGCGACATAGCATCCTGAGCCTTTCTGTTGTCAGTCTCCGAGACAGATCCCATTGAGCTGCGAGGACTTCGATCACTGAAAACGTCGTCTTCGTGCTCATGGTGGGAGCTGTTCTCAGCAGCCTCATCTACACCGCCTCTCATACCAGCGGTCGACATTTTTGGGCCAGTGCGAGTGCTGACCGACTCTGAATGAGAGATATAACCAGTATCGTCTGTTCCAGAGTAGCTATTCAGTGACTCGCGCTTCTCGTGGTTGTCAATTTGTGAAGCAATGTCACGAGCAACGCCGCTGATAGCTTCGGAGCGACCAGAGTGTCGACGGCTGGAGTATTCAGATCCTGAAGAGCCAGAGGACTCACGTCGAGAGCCTGAGCGGTCTGACTCGGTCTCAGAAAAGTGCCTCTCTTCGTTACCCCCAGTAGAGGCTTTGACGTCAGCTTCAGCAGATTTGGCCTTGTCCTCTTCGATAGGTTCGTCCTCTTTGGGGTCCTGAGCGGTGGAGTCTTCGGCAGGAATGTTGTCTGTGGGGATATCTGCGGAAGGGGTGTACTCGGTTGGAGTGTCCGCAGGCGTGTCCTCAGTGGTAATGGCGTCTTCGACAGGGGTATGATCCTCGTCGTTATCTTTTGTGTCGTCTAATGAGGGCTCTGTAGCTGTTGTGTCGGCCTCAGCTTCAGATGTAGTAGGTACAGCTTCGACTTCTTCTGACTCTGTTGCTGGCTCCTCAATTGGTTCTTCTGGCTTATCTTCAGTGTCGACTTGGGCTTTAGCTTCCTCTTTTGGTTCGGCTTCGGGCTCTGATTCGGCTTCTGAGTCGGCCTCTGAATCTGATGCCTCTTGATCAGATTGTGCCTCTTCCTTGGTCTCTCGTGGTGTTATAGTAGATTGATCTTCTTCTTTAGCTTCGACCGTAGGCTCGGCCTTTGCTTCAGATGGTGAGTCGGTGTGGTTTGTCGTATCAATGTCGTTATCAAGCTCTTGGGCTGAGTCGTTCTTTAGATCGTGGTCTGTTTCCACTTCCACCTTTGGCTCCTCGGGGGCCCTTGTATCGTTATCGTCCATAGGATCGCTCAAGCAAGATGGATCAACGTGAATCTCGAAATCGAGGTCCTCAGGCCTGTTACGTCGGGGCATCTGAGGGGAGAGCGGTCAGCGGCTTGTGCCTTTTCGTATGTGTGCCTGGAGTATTTCGCAGTGACACACACACGAACGATAAAAAAGAAAAGGGGATATTGAAGCGAGGAAGAGGAGGAAGAAGAGAGGAGAGCTCAAGGGGTCTTCCTGGAATCGTGCAGATATTAGTCTGGGAGGCGCTGTACTGTATCGCCCAGACCCAGAAGACGCTGGGCTTGTGTGGCAGCGGATGGTTGGTCGAGGACGTTGGGACTGGCCCCGGTCATTGTTTACATTTGTTGCTGGGTCGACAGCGTCTGTGGACGTTGATCCCTGAGCGTGATGTCGAGACAACGGTCAGATTCGCAAACGGAAAGTGGCTGGTTTTCATGATTGAGACTACATGTAAATTATGATTGTGTTTAATTTCTCTGGTTTCCTTTTGTCTTTGATAGTTGAATTGTAGTTCGAGCTCGCTGGTATTTTATCCCTTGCGGGAGCAAGCAATCCATAGGTAGCTCTTAGCTCTCCCTGTTAGGTAGTTAGTGGGCAAACAGAGGTGATGTCATTCCATTGGATCACACTAGGATCCATTCTGATCGACTACTGCGATGCCCAGCAACGAACAAACGAACCCTTGCTGTTGGGGGTTTATCTGCAACATTAATTACCTCAGGCCACGATTGGGTGATATACTTGCATTTTACTGCATTGCACTCTGCTCCCTCTCCCTCTCGTGACTCGAGCCTTTTTCAGCAAGTGTCACCTCCAACACTAAGTTTAGGGTAGCCAACCTCCACCCCCAGGAACGGCCCGTCGGGTCTAGGTGTGTTTCACTCACATAGATTGCCGCATTCCTCGGTCACCACAATATACACAGCATGTTCTTGTGTTGCTTTAAATGTATAAACTTGAGTGACCACCCTCAGGGAGCAAGAAAACACCGGACCAAAATTTAGGGTGTCAAAATAAATTTAGCAAAGAGTCCCCTGAGTTTAGGCTAGATTGACCTAAATACTTTCCATCGCTTAGGGTCAAGGTCCTTCGAATGTGATACCAAGTTGACCCTCTATACCCGTATCCCTATAACGAGACCGAATCTCGAGGCAATTATCACCCCTGGGCAAACCCTGAGGATCAATATTCCCCAAATGTGTTTGCCACACCGGACTCCAACACGAATCCTCGGTCCCCAAGTCCCTCCATACACACATCGGCATCCTCTTCTTTGTTGTGCAGATCGAAAACTCCGTCAGGCAGTACGGGCACATGCCATCTACCCGACTTCCAGGGTTTTTGAATGCCTCATGGACGCATATGATTAGCTCCTCGTTGAGACGACTAGGCTGCCACGTTCTTAAGAAATGGTTTATTCAGACACCAAATTCCTCACCCCAGCCCCGGCGCACGACGAAGGCTCTCCAGTTGAGTTCTGACATGGCCTGATGTGTGCAAGCTCCAAAGTACCCGAGTTTGTGGAGTCCTATCGTCCCGCCTCTCAGGGAGTTGGTGAAGGTCTGTTTGTTGAGAAGAAGATATCGACCAGATACGAGCTTGGGATGAGACTCAAAGTGGCCTACTACTCCAGACTTCTCCGAGGGGTGTATGTTGAAGCATGGTGAGAAATCAGTGTGGTATGGCTCCAGGAGACTCTTGAGAAACGACATTTGCTGGCGAGTCTTCTTTTCCAATCGGTGGTATATGAGGCTCATCCGAACATGCCTATGCCTTATCAATAAGGCTCCACGCGTGAAGTTGATGATATCATTGAATTTCCAACCTGGTTGATATCTAACTGGAGGACCTTGCGGTTGTGGGTAGAGGTCTTCCTCTTGAAATTCTCGGAAACGTAGCGTTTTTTCATCAAGCCAAGCATTAGGAAATTGCCGTATCACAAATGTCTTGTACTCCTGCTTTTGCTCAAGTGTTAATCGAGAATATGAGACTGTTCTGTACTCTAGTAATATTTTTATCCCGCGGCAGGTTGTTAGAAGACACAGCTGACTGCTTGCCGGGAGGAATGAGTGAATGATGAGCAAGATTTCGACGGGTAAGTTGAGGAAAAATGAGTCCGGGTTGTTCTTTGTCTTTGACAACTGAGACCCGTCTTCGCATATCCAGCGGCTTGACATATCCTGAATTTGAGCCATTGTGAAAGACGGGAACGCGGCTGGCTGTTGGAGTCGAGTAGAGATGAAAATTAAGAAAATAAAAGGACAGCTTAGTTGTTCTTTTTATTAAAACTGTTTAAAATATGCACTTAAAGCTTAAAAAAGAAAGTATGTAGTAGAATTTGGTTTGTAATTTGGTGAAGAGAGAGTTAAGATTGAGTGTGTAATGAAGTTTAACACACTGGCCATACTAAAGATGCCAAAGTTGTTGATTTAATAAGGTTCAGGCGTTCCAGGTCCAATCATACTCCCTGTGAGTCTCCTTGAAAACCTGAATAGCCTTGTCGTAGGCACGATGCTTAATATCCCGCTTAACCACGATATCAGGGACTGGAAAGTTTAGTGCTTGAATTCGCAAGATGGTTTGGTGACTCACCTTCCAAGTATCCATGGAATAGATCTTTCTCATGCAAGATTTCAACTCTCTGGACTTCTCTACTACCGTCCTCGTTGTTGATTCTCTCTGCGAACTCAGTCTGTTCTGCAACGAGGATATCGATACCAGGGACGACAAGAAGAATCCTCTTTGGCAACGATTCTTTTTGTGAAAGGACAGGACTAAGCCTTGGGTCTTTAGAGTGTTTTGCTCTTGCAGGTGCTGCATATGCATCGAAAAGGGGCAAAAAGACTTTTGCTGGGTCATTCTTGGGCATGTTGTCTGGATGCGGTTTCTCCCAGGGACTCAGACGGAAGTCAAGAACAGCGTAGAAAGTCGCGATGGCCTTGATAGATGTAGGAGATGGTGCCTGGCAGCTTTTCTGCTGAGTGACCGCGAAAGCCAAGTTTCCTCCGGCAGAAAAACCACTCGTGGTCATCAAAGTTGGATCTGCGCCCCAACGTTCTTCAGCGTTCTCCTGTAGCCACTTGATCGTTGCATCAGCATCGTCGACAGCTGCTGGGAAAGCATGTTCCGGCGCCACGCGATAGTCAACGTCAACAACAACGGCACCTGTCTGTTCTGATACCAGCTGATCGAAATATGCATGGCCCTCTGGCAAGCCCCCCATAAATGCGCCAGCGTGAAAGTTCACATGAAGTGGCCTGAGAGCTCTCCCCTTTCCAACACCAGCAGCCTTGAAGATCAATGCGCGGACAGAACGACCTGGTGCAATATGTAGATATTCAACGGTGTAAGAGCGATAAAAAAGACACGGTATCGTGGCGATGGAATATGTTAGGAAAGCAGCTGGTTGAAATAATAGCAACCGCCAGCGCAAGGCCCATGGTATATTGCGATAGAAGATCGCCACCAGACTGGGTCGAAACCAAGTATACAAATGGTGGATGATGCCAGGTATCATGATCAATCTTGGGTTCATTCATCAATGTCGCGATAAAACAAAGGTCAAGTTCAGGTTTGCGGCTGAAATGCAGCAGAACAAAAGAATCAAAGCTGTAAGCGGCCCAACATCGCACCGGTCTTTTATGAGGGAGAGCCAATCAACAACCACAAGCCAAGAACAAAACAGCGTCTCATATAGATTATATATGTTATATTTCAGTGATAACCTTACAGATTGAGTCCATTCTTTCGAGAGTACTACTCACGCTTCTGAGCTGACACGTCCTACTCTAGCCCCGAACAAACATATGTGTCTGCATTTAAACAAGAACAGTTTCAAAGTCAGCCACTTAATGAGGAATAAATGTACAATTTTCTGCATGCAATTTCTATCCCAGCCGCCACTCAAGCAGCTGTCAACTTACCAACATACATCCCTATCCTTGCAACTGCATTCTGGTGACCCGATGCTCGGGTGTATAAATTAAGCATAAATCAAGTGCAGATTGAAATCACAGAGGAAAAAGCAAAGTTCGGTAGCCCATCGCAGGATGCAAGACTGAGAAGATGTATAGGAAGGCAAAATATTTAATATCACCATCATTCACAAAGTCAGCTGGAAAGCCCTCGATTGAACCAACCAAATTAACAGACACAAATGACCCCAGATTCTCCATATACTCGTGTATTTTCTAGATAGACCTGTTAAGTCACCTCTCCAGCCCAAAGAGTTATAACCCAGTAGTGAACGCCATGCTACGCTATGTCAAATTCCCAATAATCAACCCCATCCGCCTAGTCGAATCATACCCTGGTTTAAAAACCGTATATCAAGGAAAGAAACGCAACAACTAAGCTCATGGTTCCTCCGCAACAGGTCGTGGAGGTTCCATAGGTGCATTTGGTTGCCTATTACCCGAGCCTCGAGTCCCCGGCCGATGGCTGTCCGTTTGACCAACGAGGTGTTCACTCGGCCCATAGAATCCATGCATCTCTTCGTTCACAATACTGAGATTACTCTGACCCAGAGAATCACTCCGTATTCGTGGTCCACCCGACTGACGCTGAGCTACGGGAGGTCGGCTCGGGACACTGGAAATACTGCCTGATGACCGTCGCCTTTCATCTCTTGGGAATACCACCGATGATGGAGAGCTTGGCAGTTCTGGTACGTACGGTGTTGCTTCTAGCTCTGCCGTAGGATGAGCACCTACCATCACTCCAGGGGAACCATCAGATCCTTCTGAAGCATTACTGTAGTGCCGAACATGGGTATACGTCCCGTGTGAATCTGTACTTGAACGGTTCCTCGTCGATCCAGTAAGTCTAGAGATATGGCTCATTCGATGTTGTTCGCCAGCAGCTACACCGCTGAAGTAATCGTCCCTGTTGCCCATTGCATCAAAACTAGCATGTCTGCTGGTGTTGCCGCTTCCTGGTACTGCGTGGTAGCCGTTCCCTCCTGGCGTAGGCTCATTAGAACTGTGATCTGCGCTAGCGAGGCCGAATGGTGAAGTTGCTGCAGAATCAGGGCCGGGGTTTCGTGGCCGGGGAGGTATCAGTGACGG